TATTCGTTATTTGTATAATTAAGTTTATTTTATAAACTGTAATACTTTATGGTTTATATATGTTATTTTAATTGTAGAGATGTGCGTGGAAAAATAAATAAATAAAATCAAATGATATCAAATCAATCTTTATTATTAGGTTGATTTCATTTTTTCATACGAGACTACGTCAATATTTTCTTGTTTAAAAGAAACTTTGATTATTATTATAATTATTATAATTTTTTTCTTCAAAAGTAGTAGCAGTAGTAGTAGTTATATCAGTATCATTATTAATATTATAATCTTTACGTTTTCGCCGTCAAGGAACCGTAGATGTATGGAAATCCATGAAGGTAAAAATTGAAACCGTCATGTAGTTTCTTGATAACTCCAAAACCATGGAATGGTCCCTTCTCCCTTTCATATAATGAATGATATGGATGTCAACATTTTGCCTTCAGGTCCTTTTGGTGCAACTTATAATGTGGCTACTACTCCATCGAGGTAAGCATTATCAGAGAGGAAGGGAGATACACACACACACCCATACATGTAAACGCCTTCAATCGGGGAGGTAGGCAAAACACCATGAAACTGTGGAGGTAATAAATATAGGCTTTATAAGCAATATTTTATCAAATTTGAGGAAAGAAAATCACAATAAGCCCATTCCAATGTCAAAAGATACTAAAAAACGTTTACTTCTTCTTACACATGATTCGTCTGAATTTGAGCTATGAAAGTGCGGTGTCTGCATCTAGTCATTGTCAATCGGGGAAGTAGGCATAAGACCTAGCAAACGTGGAGTTTGTCGATTTTTATCTTTTCCTTGTAAACTTCGAACTAACTCATGCAAAAAAGGATATTATTATGTTTGCTTGTATTTAAAACAATGAAGGCAATACTGTCTTTCAAATCTTAATTTCCACAATATAATATCAATCTTAGAAACAAGAGTTATGGTCAACAGTTGACCGTTGTGTATCATGTAAAAAGTCTTGATAAATATGATCTTGATTTACTGTATGGAAGCCAGTGGCGGATCCAGCCGGCGGGAAGAGGGGGGGGGGGGGCCCAATCCGTGAGAAAATATTAGTTGCGACTCAGCCGTCGGTGAATAAGCGGGGGGGGGGGGTAGGAAGCATTTTTTTGGGGTGCAATTTTTCAGGAAATATTTTGCGCCGACTTAGTCAGCCGGTGAATATGAGACCACTATTTTTTTTGTGTGTGACCTAATTCGTGAGATTTTGTTGTTGTTGACCCGTCACCCCCCCCCCCCCCCGTGGATCCACGCCTGCAGAGGATCCAGCCGGCGCCAATGGGGAGGGGGGGTAGCCAAATCTTAATACAAAATTTAGTGCCGTCTCAGCCGGCCGGCGAATAAGCGGGGGGGGGGGGGATGGGGCGCTTTTGTTTTTTGTTTTATAAAGGTTAACTTTACGTTATTATCCTATTTTTTTTATCGTTTTGGGGGGCTGGGGGGGGGCGGGCCGGAAAAATCGCTACGTGGATCCGCCCCTGATGGAAGCCATTACAAATGTAATCCTAGGAATCCCAACATCAGTTCCACTTACTCAGGTTCAATAAAAATGTTGGCTTAGCTTTTATCAGTGTCAAGAGATCAAGGTAATTTAAAGGGATTGCCCATGAACTGTCACACTATATTGTGTGGCTCAGAAAGAAAGAAAACCGGATATTTCCAATTACAATGACATAATGACTCAAAGTTGATGATCTTGACATCATTTTTTATCATTTCGAAAAAGAATGATCTTCTTAATGAAGTAAGAATTAGGTCAATGATGAAGTTGTAATTGTAGATCGCAGGTGTTCCGTTCTTTCTAGCCCCCCCCCCCATGTATATAAAAACCATTATTCTATCATAAGGATATTTATATTTCTTTATTTTTGTTTTCGGGGGGAGGGGGAAGATTTCGGCAATTCAAGGAAAGAATACAATTCATATTTGTAAATGTTTTTAAATTAATCGTTATCACTAGTGGTATAGAGTTTGGATTAATATCATTGCTTCTTTGTATGAGATTCCTTTTGTTCTCTTACTATCATCAAAATATGTTTGTAACATTTATTCTTTTCTTATACATGTTTGCATTTTGACGTATCGACTTGTGAAAATGTTATGTTTTGTGAATAACGTTTATGTCTTTTGAAGAAAGAAGACACATATACAAAATAAAGATTGAGCTTGTTTGTACTATATTGCGTACTGATATGTCTTCATTATTTTAACTGTAAGGAATCACTATATCGCAAATGATGTTACAGTGCTTGCACACGTTGAAATTATTAATAGATAAGCTGGGAAAGATATAATGAAGGAAATTAACTTTAATAATTCCATCCACTGTACGTACCAACGGAACTTAATGACACCACCACACAAAAAGTTTGCAAAACTTTCTCCTGTGCTCCTCTCTTTCTCTCTCTCTAACTATATCTTCATTCAATTTAAGGACGAAACTGTCATCTTTTTCAACATGTTTTAACAATTCCTCGATCAATGTGGTATCAAACCACTTTCCCTGAATATTTTCTTTCCTTTCATCCTCGAATTCTATTAAATTCTTTAACACACCTCCTGCAAACATATACATACTTGCCACTATAAAATTGGATATAATTACAGTTTTAAAACTATGCAGTATTATCTAGCAAATCATTTTCTTTCTTAATTTTAAAATATGACTTATGTTAAAGAGGGAAAACAAAAATCACAGAATTATCATGTTATTTCTATAAATATCTCATACACCAGCAGGTGTATTGTACTACAGAGGAAAAAGACGAGATAGAATCAAATAAATGCCAATTGTAATAAACAATAGTTTATCTTCTTTGAATTTCTGTAAAATATACTTTATTTCGATACAATTATTTGACAGTCTTCAAAGGCACATGCAAATCATGAAATTTACAAGAGACAAGTTAAACACGTCCAGCGATGATATGCAATTAGGAGTTAAGTCCGAACGTGTACATAAAAAGGGCATTAGTACCAATCAATACAATTGAACCACAGGCATTGCACCACATTTGCAAAAATCTACAGATTAAACATGCATGTAGTAGAAAAATGTCTTATAATTGTGATTACGAATAAATAATTATTTCTAACATCACCTGGGTAAAAGAATGGTGCAATATTGTGAAGTTGACATTGCCACAGAAAATGAGGTTAGAATACAAACGAAGGCAAAATAGATGATATTGATATCATTTACTTGGAGAATTGATCAACTCAGTCTACGCATATTTCATGATTTCTTTGAGGTCTTGTTAAAATAACAGATCATATTACTGTTCATTCTTGGCCGGCCATCCTTAATTTATACACATGTATAGTATATTTGTGTGTTTGGAATGATATGAAAGGTTGAGGCATAAAATGAATTCTGCCACTTAAATAAATGGGGTTTACTACCGCAAAATCCCCAGGGATTCTAAAAAAAATCTAGAATTCTAAAACCTAAAAACAAAACCCCCCTCAAACCATAACAAGAAATTAGGCAACCAATTAATGAAAACAAAAGATAACATCTGTAACAACTTTGAACAACATAACTCATAACTAGAAATGAAGAAAAAAATAGCCCACTGCTGCTACACACAGCAAGAAAGCCAAAAGCCCTCTCTTTGATCCAGGCAAACAAAGTCTCCTTGAATATTAAACAAACAAAATAATTAAATGTTATTTAGCAATACTCCCATCAGCCATAATTGAACGCTTTACAAAAAATGATGCTTTACACACATACCAAACACGACATGCAACACGTACAAACTATCATCCTCCCTAACCCGGGCAGTTTTCGCCATAAAAACTATTTCATACACAGGACCAAACTACTGAAGCACCATTGATCCGAATCTCAAATAGCTTAAGAACTGTTGCAGCTTTAAAAAACATATCAAATTGTTAGTATTAAATTTGTACATGTAATGCACAAGTATACTATTTTTTTCTGGACTGTGAATCCCGACCTTGAATATTCTATTCTAAAAACTTCCTTTTCTCTCTCCTCATTCTTCTCCTGACCCCCATGCTTTACCTTCCCTTCCTAGTTCTCTTCTTTCTTACATCCATCATCCATATCATTTCATTGTTTTATCTGTATACTCTGATTTTGTATCATCATACTTCTACCTTATAATGAATGACACTGTGTCAACATTATTTTGAGGAACTTAAATTCTACAAGCTATATGCTTTTGATTAAGTTCCTTTTTTCACATGTAATTTCGAAATTATTTAGTGTGAAATAAATGAAACTAAACTGAAACTGAAGGTCAAGAGTCACTACTGCTCTCTAAGAAAATAGCAGCCCCTAGGTAGAGTACTAGCACACCACACAGTTTGCTAGAAAGTCCTGATTTATATACCATTTTATTTTCTTTTGTTGTAAAATCATGTGATACATATAAATATGAATGCGTTAGTATTTGAGGGATAATTCCCTTTTCAGTCTGACAAAATTAATAATATCCATTTTCCAAGTTTCTCAAATATTATATATGAATATTTGTCAGTGGTAACAATAGTACATTCCAAAGATACCATTTAACATGATGGAGTTTGATTTGGGGGCAAAATGGATGTAAAAGATTCCAGATATTAGTTTGATGAACATAATTACGTAGAGTTTAACAGTACCTAAGGTTAAAAAAGCTACACAGCATATCTGTTTTTTACATTCCTATCATAGCATCATCATTAGTTGTGTGCTATACATTTAACACAAATCTGACGCAATACAAATTTGTTGGAGAAGCCAACTTTTGAACAATGATGAAGAATGAAGGAGAACTCACTGACATCACAAATCCCCCCCCCCCCAAAAAAAAAGGGACCAGGGATGAAATTGAATCAGCAAGAAGTACGGTGAATCATATTAATATTGTAGGTTTATATGATTATACTGGAACCAACCCTTTATTATAGCCCTTTTTATTTGTTTTGTTGCAAAGGTATTACAAAAAAAAAAGGTTTTGGGCCCCGACCCCCATCACAACTAATTATTCACATTACAACCATCATCTATAGTCTAGTGCTTAAACACTAAATTGACATATTTTATGTATGTGGGAAATCTGAGAATAATATTCAGATCTGTTCTTATTAATTCACAACAAACATACATTCGGTTTACTTTTTAAAGGGGGCACTGATCATTGACTCCCCCTCTATTTTTTGCCACAATTATACTAAATCTGCAGAAACTACTGCATTGCTAATTAAACAAAAGTGTACAAATTCTATCTCTACACTATCCCATATTAATGGCTTGTACTAAACACTCAGGTCGCGGCTCGTTTGGCCATTTAAACAAAATGGTGTCTTCAAATCGGTTTTTAAGGGGGAAAATATTATTTCAAATTAGTGACTGTTTTTACACTCAGGTCGCGGCTCGCTGGGCCATTTATTCAATGATGTCTTCAAAGGGGATGCGTAGGGAAATTTTCTTAAAAAAGAAGTTGGAAGTTGTGATTATTATTTTTTTAATGATAGACAAATAAGAAGATTAGAATTAAGGCTGGCATTGGGAAAGACAAAATACTAGGTGATTAAAGTGGATTTTAGAGAAAGTGTAATACTACAAGGGAAATGAACTGTATATTTGATAGAAACAAGGAATAATGGATAGAGTGAGAAGATGAATTGTGGGAAATTAAGAACTAACAAGAGAGGATTACATAAACAAAGAATGAAAGAAAACAAATATTTAATAAAAAGGGAATTGAAAGAATTCATTGGTCAAATTTAACAGTGATAAAGATATAAAGAAAAGAGTGGAGGAAATAAAGATTTACATGATAGAAAAAAGATGAGAAATAAAGGGGTAGAATAAAATTTAGAAAGAATATTTTTTAAAGACTGACAAATATGAAAATAAAGCGAGGAATAAAACTTGATAGGATATTACAAGGAATGATGGAAATATTCATTTCATTCTTTCATTCTTTGTTTTTGTATTCCTCTCTTGGTAGTTCTTAATTTCCCACAATTCATCTTCTCACTGTATCCATTCTTCCTTGTTTCTATCATATTAATAGATCATATACCTATGTACTATTACACTTTATCTAAAATCCACTTTACCCACCTAGTATATTTGTCTTTCCCGATGTCAGCCTTAATTATAATCTTCTTATTTGTCTATCATTGAACAAAAAACAATCACAACTTACAACTTCGTTTTTAAAGTAAATTTCCCCACGCATCCCCTTTGAAGACATCATTGAAAAAATGGCCCAGCGAGCCGCGACCCGAGTGTAAAAACAGTCGCTAATTTGAAATAAGATTTCCCCCTTATATTAAAAAGCCGATTTGAAGACACTTAAAAAAAGATGGCCAAACGAGCCGTGACCCGAGTGTTTTTCAGCGCGCCGCGACCCGAGTGTTTAGTACAACCCCATAATAATATCAGAAACAACACAAGTTCTGTCCAAAATGAAAAGGGGCACCCTTTACACATAGTAAGGGCACTCTCCCTTGATGATGATATTAATACACTATACTGAACGTGTTCTCATAATAAATGTTGTTTAAGTTTTAATTGTGTCACAAATGTACAAGCATTACACTAGTCAATTCCCCTACTGCCTTCTTATGCTGCCATTATGGTATGTAAATGCAAATACTTGACTGTTTGATTACAACTTCCACTGATTTATTTCGTTAAAAAATCTATGGGTTTTTTTTTCTTGTTCAAATAGGATATTTCCAACTCATGCTGCAAAATTCTCATTGTAATCAGTACATGTTGCCTAAACGATATGCTCCCTGTCATTGATATCTGGGAGTGGCCAAGCATAGGTCCACTAAGACCCTAACACAATTACAAATTGCCGGATGCCTACAAAAATGATAATAAAACCTCAAAATAACAAATCCTTTGCCAGTAGAGTGGGTAAACATTTTATGAATACATGGAGAAACCAAATGTAAAAGAATACACATTTTAGACTGTAATAACAAGAACATGCCTTGTAATTTATGAGCATTTTCAGCAGTTTGGTGACTCAAAACAAAAGCATGTGTGTATTCAATATAAAAATGGTGATTTGATATTAAAGGGAATGTTTTTACCAAGGCTGTGTTTTTCTGCTTTTGGTAACCTTCGAGTTTCTTACGTAGTCTTTGATGTTGACCCACGTTCTGTGTTTCAGCACAGCTTCAGCTTTCAAGCATTCGTCTATCGCTCTCTTGCCAGGTAGCTTAGAATGAACAGTCATAAAGGCTCCTAAACGTCTCTGGACAGCCGACTTTTCCGCATCGCTCCATGCTGTCTTTCGTTTCTTCCTTATTGGCTGTTCATCAACCTCTTCCAGTACATGTTGCGTTTGCCTTTGCCTTTTGGTACCTAATGAAAGACAATAACAAAAAAAATGTTGCAATTATACTATGCAGAATAATAAATGCAGTATCACATACTGTTTCTCTGAGTCTCTGACCCATGAACTTGAAGAGTGCATTACTGTTATGAGGATGGAAGGAGAGGAAGAATATTTAAATCCTCTTTTGCAGTGATGCAGAATAGAGTGTGATCCTGGGAGGAATACACTTAAACGATTTTTTTTTAGCGGGAAGAAAGCCATCATATAATTTTGTAAAGCTCATATTTCGTGAAATTATGGGCATCTACCGTTTAGGGGAGTCGGGCACAAACAAGTCTTTAAATTATCTGACAGTGTCATGACAGATGGGGTTATGTTTCACATATTCTACCCGGTTTCTATTGGTCATTTATTTTGCTAATCTAGCTCAGTTTTGGGTTTATTTGGGAGGGGCTCCTGGCTGCCTCCATTTTCATCCATTTCCTAGTATATTGTAGTGATTGCTGTGTGCATGAAAAAAAGTACATTTTGTATTACCTTGACAACCCCTGACTCCCAGTCTAGAACAAAAGGGCCACGATCACATAATACTTTCTGAGTCTATATTATTGTATGTACACAATTTTTTTTTAGTTTAGAGAAGTTTAGATATAGAGACCAATTAAATTCACTAATAGATTTTCTTCGTCATTGGCAACAGCCTTTTTGTGAGGCTACATTACAATTATAATTGTGCTATAATTTTTAACAATTCAAAATGCACAAATATTGGTACGTGGTGATTTCAACAGGAAAAAGTTTGGTTTCACTTTGGCTTTTGAGGATGATTGAGAGTGCGGTACAATAGGCAAAATTAACATTTAGGTTTGCAAAAAGAATTTTTTTAGATGCTCTCATTGGACTTAAAGTCATACCTTTTTGGGAGCATCCAGGTAGCTGACGTTCGACATCATGATCACCAGAATCAACATCGCTGTCACAATTGTCATCACATGATTCAGGTCCCTGTTCTCCAGTGTCGATCTCTGTACATAAAATAATAATCAATAATATTCACCAAAAAGAAAATCTGGGTCAACTGCAAAGAAAACATACTTGTAATTTAAAACAAAAGAATATAATCAATTATTTCTAAATACAACATGGTAGAATTGGCACCAGGTATATGCTACATTTGTGGATCGAGTCAAACAAATGCCTTAATTACCCCTAATCTAAATAAATTGAAACAAACAAGTGAACAATATAGTGAGGAATATTTAACTGCATGGTTCATTTGAAAACAACACTTTTCATTAATTCAATAATGTTGCAGCATGTTTATCAATTTACATATTTTGTATTTGATAATTGTCAAGTTGAGTGGAAATCAGAAATACTTGATTCTTAAAATTAGTACATGCTACATGGTTTGTTATTCATCCCACTCATCCCTCGCCATGATGTTTCTCATCGCATTAGGGTTTGGATTGAGATCCCCACTGTATAATTCTACCCTCATCACAAATTTACCTTCATCTAACTTGATTTGAAGCTCATCCAGACTTTTTGCAGTGCCAATCAGCTGGACCGGGTTCCCAGCTTTTCCCTCCATGGCGAACAGGATCTTTGATATTTTGGCCACCTGCATAGCAGCATCTGGCAGTCTATAATACTCCCTATGTATCCTAATATCGTGGCCCATGAAGTTTGCTAAGGCGTCCATCTCATGGTCCCTCAAGCTCATTAGTTGTGACATGGTAGCTACATGCTTCCGTAATTTTGTGGATCGAAGTGTTGAAGGATTTTGTGCTCCACATGCTTCTGACAGCTCACGGAGAGCATCTGACCCTCGAACATGAGATGTAGTGTCACTATTGGCTACGGCGAACAGGTATTTGTTGCTTGGGTTTACACCTGCTTCCTCCCTGTGGGATACAAGGGTGTCTACACATGATTTCATGGAGTCTGTCACAAGGATCGGCACTGTCCTGCCACGTTTTCCTACTACCTCAACTCTCCAGAGAAACTTTACAAGATTTTTTTCCCAGTCTTTCAGCATCTCTAGTTGTCCTTCCACCATATGAGATTCACCTTTCTTGATTTTATTGTAGTCATCAAGAGTCATCTTGCTGATTTCCCCTTGTCTCCTCCTATTAAACACAATGAGATGAGCCAGCATGGTCTTGTTGAGTTCTCTCCATGTGCTATGGTTTTCGATTGCGGTCCCAGATGACAGTTTGTCTACACAAAGTTCAGCCTGTACCTCTAGGTGTCTTGACAAAGCCACAACATCACTCGTTAGGGGTAGGAGTTTGGGCTGGTTTCGTTTCCTCTGGTACAAAGTTCGTAGAGCATGAGTAGAGATTTCAGATCCCCAACAAGTGTCAAGCAGCTTGATGAACTTTTCTACAAGTTTCTGCATGTCATCCCCATCTCTGTCCATCAAAGCCTTACTCAGGAGCACAAAGGCAGCCTTTCTTAAGGTATGTCCCAGCTTAAGTGCTAGACTTGGTGTATTGAACAAGTGGTTCTCCTCATCAAAGCCTGCCACTTTCTTGACAGCACTCAAGACAGTCATAAAACCATTTGGTGATATCAGGGAAGTCAGACTTGCCTTGCCATTGCAGCTGCAACGTCTGAACTGAAGTACAAGTCTTCCTAGTTCTCGTAACTTGCATCTGATGTGGTTGTGCTGTTCTTCGTCATGGCCCAATTTCTTAGAGTACACCTTGGCCAATTCTAGAATCAACTGATCATTTAGAATGCAGGCCTTGATTTCATCATCGCTGAGACCACTCAGTACTTTGTGTGTTATAGAATCTCTTGATGTGCAGGGCACTGGTGGAAGCAAGAGTCGACCTTGTGCTAATAGTCTTCTTCGTTTTTTCTTTTGCTCCTTAGCCGGCTCTTCTTGCTTCAAAATGCAGCGGTGTTTCCACAATTCGGCTTTCGCAAACCATCCCAAACAATCTTTGCAAGGCTGATAATCACGGGGCTTTGCTTCACAAGAAGGTCTATATACGACCACAAGCTCTCCATGACCCTTTTCGAAGACCCTGTAGTTGTGCATGTGATTTCCTTTATTTCTTATCAATGTCAATAGCTTATCCTTTTCTTTTCGATTCGTTGCTGCCATGTATTGCGCCACCTTTATTTCATTGGAATGTTGTGACCGCAGGTGATCAGGAAGTTTTTTGTGGGGCTTCTCACACATCATGCAATAAGCTACCTTGTCATATTTTCGCCCTCCTTGATTGTTGGTCTTCATCACAGTTATCCCCTCATGGTCAGCATCAATGCCTCCATATCTTGATGATGCCTCCAATGACTGATCTGATGACAGAGATTTCAGTGATCGAGTGATGCCATTTATTGATGTACATTTAGCCTTAGGCAATGATGCTTGAGAATTATTTAATGAAGTCTTCCCTGAAGAGTCAGAATCTCCTTGAGAATCACAGACATAGTCTGGATCATCATCACTATCATCATTATGGTCAGATAATATGTCCTCATTATCACTTGAAAAAATATTTTGTGAAAGGGTTCCATCTGGTACCATCAATGCTTGTGTGGCAGGCTCAGGGAATGGTTCCCAGTGCTCTCGGTTATTAGGGGGGTTTCTGCATAGATCATCAGATGTGTCATCATTATCAGCAAGAAAATTGGACAGTGAAAGGTTTCCATCTGGTTCCATTAAAGGTTGTGTGGCAAGCTCAGTAAATGGTTCCCAATGCACTTGGTTATTAGGTGGGTTTATGCATGGATCATCACATGTGTCATCATTATCAGCTGAAACATTAAACTGTGAAATCTTTCCATCTGATTCCATTAAAGCTTGTGTGGCAGGCTCAGGGGATGGTTCCCAATTTGTTTCGTTATTAGGGGGGTTTCTGCATAGATCATCAGATGTTTCAGCATCATCAGTTAGAACATTGGAAAGTGGAAGGTTTCCATCTGGTTCTATTAAAGGTTGTGTGGCAAGCTCAGTAAATGATTCCCAATGCACTTGGTTATTAGGGGGGTTTATGCATGGATCATCACATGTGTCATCATTATCAACTGGAACATCAAACTGGGAGAGCTTTCCATCTGATTCCATTAACGCTTGTGTGGCAGGCTCAGGGGATGGTTCCCAATGTTCTTGGTTATTAGAGGGGTTCCGGCATGGATCATCACATGTGTCATCATTATCAGCTGAAACACTGAACTGTGAAATCTTACCATCTGATTCCATTAAAGCTTGTGTGGCAGGCTTAGGGGATGGTTCCCAATTTGTTTCGTTATTAGGGGGGTTTCTGCATCGATCTTCAGATGTTTCATCATCATCAGCTCGAACATTGGACTGTGAAAAGTTTCCATCTGGTTCCAGTAGTTCTTGTGTGGCAGGCTCGGAGAATGGTGAACAAACTTTTTCTGGGTCTGGTGGGAGGTTTGCAGAATTTTGCAGAATTTCAGGTTTTTCATCTTGGACTCCACTGTGTAATTGAGTAGGACTTGGGAATACAAAATTATCTCCCACCCCATAATCATATAACACTTCTTCACCTTCTTTGATTTTCTTCAATGAGAAGAGAACCAGTTCTGGTTCATTGTGAGGGTTCTCTCTAATCTTCATTCTGCTGTTGACTTCACCCCTCCAACCATGGTTGACGAGTCGTCCCAGTTGTTGTTTAGTTGGTTCGACTGATGCATCCCTACTGGAAATGAAATTGAAAAAAAATGAAAACATTAGATTCATCAATGTTTAAAATTACAATGAATCACTGAAACATACAAGTATATGTGGGTTACAATTTGTGATTTCACTTTAGGTTTTCTCTGTTGTCAGATATTATTTGATTAACTGTTACTTTTCAAGTAGGGTATCACTCAAAGAAGAATCGTTACAGTCATGATTTTTGTTAACGCATGGTTAATTTTAGGAGGAAATTTGAAATACAAGTAACATAGGAAACAAATAGGTAACATTACATGTAGGCATTGGAAATCATAACCAATATCATGAACATTAAACATGCATATGTTTACTTTTCATTTGCCTTAAAATTGTAATGCTACAAAATGTCACCGTGCATCAGACAAGAGTACCGAGGCGAAAAAAGACGACGAACTAACCGTGGAAGATTTTTTCAATATAAATACAAATAACAAAAAAAAAACAAAAAAAACACAAAGGTCGAATAACGACACGCCCTACAAGCCACGGGCAACAGCATTGCGAACAAAATATATCCTCTCTAGACCCTCTGAAATACGAGAGCCAAAGACATTACATGGTATAACAAAAATAACAAAAGAGAGAGAGAAGCGACCAAATTGGGGAAAGGGCAAGGAGAGGCAACAGACTAAAGGGAAAATGTACAATTTCGGACATATCTATCCACAAGATGTTTACACCGGGTGGGAGAGATGGAAGAAGGCTTCGGCAGGGGAGAAGGAACATGCGGAGAAGAAAGATGAGTCCAAGGAGAAGAAGGGAGGGAGAGATGAGGAAAGATTAAAAAATAGCATGGGAAAAAGGAAAAAAAGCATTATGATAAACAAGAACAGACGTGTAGAATGAGGGGGGAAAGAAGAAAATAATCTATCTAATCTTTAAAAGTGGAACGTAGCTCCAAAAAGCAAATAAAGAATACAATATAAAAAGTGGCTACTAGCACAAACCTGAATTCATATCAAACGGACCAAACATGTATGCAGTGTTATATTATTTTAGAATGAGCAAAGAAAGCAGGAAATCCAATGCAGGGTTTGAATTGTGCATTGAAAACTACATCCTCAATGAAGATTATGTTTACCAACTGTATGATTTTTGTTCTCAAGTTTTCAAATGATTTTTCAGTAAATCTTACCATTTGACATATGTTGGCCCATCTCAGATCATCTTCCCAGATTATAAAGAAGAGGAAATTTGGGAAATTACAAAATGAATGATGAACATTTAACAAAGAAGGATAACAGAAATTAAAAGCAGAAGATGTATAAAGACAACAAGCAGGAGTAGCGAAATGAGAAATCCAGCTACAATGCGAGGATGACGCTGGACAACAGACATTGAAAGAAATGAATTAGGAGGATGGGAAGGGAGAGGAGGAGACAAAGCAGATGAAGAAGTTGAATGAGGAGTTGATGAGCGAGGGGTTAGGAGAGGGGTTGAGGGAGGGGTTGGGAGAGGGGTTGGGAGAGGGGTTAGGCGAGGGGTTGAGGGAGGGGTTGTGTGAGGGGTTGATTGGGGGGTGCGGGGAGGTGTTAGGGGAAGTAATGAATGAACAGATGAAGTAATATCAGACTGAAGTGAAGATGAGGTGTAGAAGAAAGGGGGAGTAGAAAAAGAGTCTTCCGATGACATATTGCAGGGAACTGATGAACCAGCATCATTTAAAACTTCACTGGAGGGAGAGGGAGGTGGTGCAAGCTGCGTAGAAATTTCCGAATCTGTTTCATCATTTAAAACTTCACTGGAGGGAGAGGGAGGTGGTGCAAGTTGCATAGAAATTTCCGAATCTGTTTCATCTGTAAGATGAAATGTGGAGTGTACAAAAAAAAAATGGACTTTTCAGTGTAATGCACCTTTCTTTTATATCCAATATTTGTACCAAATATTGTTTTATATTCTCATTTTATGCTCTCCAAAATGGAATATGATCTGTTGGACTGACAAGGTAGAATAATTGTCATTGGTAAGATTGTGTTTTTTGTATGATAGCTAAAACAGGTTTGAATAGATAGAGAAGAATATAAGTTGCATATTTGTTCTATGCTGTCCTTGCCGTATTGATACTTTCTGCAGAAAACTGTATGTGTACTGTATGTGGTCAGTCCACGGGTTTATTCAAAAGCACGGAATAGAATTTGACAGATATGACTAGCTTTCGATCTTTCTCTAGGGAAAAAACAAAAACCACTGGTAGAAAATATGTTGCCCTGTCAACCCACATGTTTACGACTACGTCATAAGCATATAGCCTTAGGTTTGTTTTCAACACCTATCATTACAAAATATACTTTTCAATAAATCAAGTCGTCATAGTATGTAGACTTACCACCATTTCGTCCCTTTCCATGTGAAAAAGTATCTGAAGCAAGTTTCACAGTCTGCATCTCTTCTTTCCCCCACATCTCTGGTTACCAGATCTCCTCTGTACCACAAAAGGAATTCTCCCTCTTCAAACGTTTTGGTGGTAAAGACTGCTCTACCTGTGATTGAAGAAATACATAATCTTCATGAGATCAATCATGCGAGTTTAAACATTGTGAATATGATGTTACAAGTATATTTGTCTGTCATTTAAGATAATGCTCAGGTGTGATAAGTAACTCGGACTCGTACTTGTAAGAAGGCACTTATTTTCAAAATTGGTTGAGTTTTAAATAACATTTGTGTGTCTTTTTGGTCACATTGCCATCAAGCAGACTTTTAAGCAACACACTGTATTTAATATTAGTATGCTGCAGATATTAAATTACAGTGTCATGCATGTCATGATGAACATGACGTTTTCTCTAGATTTTCTAAAAACTTTTTGACATTCAACCCCATGAGGAGGCATTAAAATTCATTTCAAGGTCTAACCTTTAAACACTTAACCAAATCAAGTTTAATACCTCCTGCTTTACAAAAGAGCCCTGTACATACAAATATTTACAAAAAAATAGAATACATTGTAGAAAACATTAAAAAAAAAGCTTTAAAAAAATAAAAACTAGATCAAAATGAACAAAAGGCCTTAAATATTAAATATTTAAGATATTATTGATACAAAGAAAAATGACCAAAAAAAATATTTCAAAAAATACACATGCCGTAAAAATAGACTACACAACTGCAAACAGACAAACAAACAAAACTAACTTATGGTAAAAGTCATGATATAACATTAGGTACCAGTGCATGCATTAAAGTGATAGAGGGAGTGACTTAATTTGGTTTTTTAACATTTGGAGTGAAGTTGCCGTGCGAATATGAGTCGGTAGATTGTTATAGATGCTTGGAGCAGTGAAAGAAAAAGAACGTTTTTTAAATTCAGTCTTTGGTTTCAGGATAAATAAGGGATTTAAGGTAGAATGACAAGTAACAAAGTAAACTGGACGATTATGACCAAAAGATTCTAAATAAGGGGCTAGATTATTGAGTATTTTGTAGACGAAAATGCAGTAGTGGTAATTGATTCTATTTTCAACACTTTGCCACTGAAGACTGCTTCACGCAATTAAGTGTTGAATTAAGATTATAAAAACAGAAAAATATGAGGGAAAGCATATCAAATATTCTACTGCATGAAATTAATGAAATATACAGAAAGGGTATAGATTTTACTAAAGAAGTTGACCTGTTTAACTGCGAAGGGTATCAAAGTTACTCTGAAAAGAGCTGGTGATTTTCAGACAATAGGCGATGAGGTGTGATCAAAGAACCATACCAGGCGTTCCTTGCATAGTCTAGCTCTGAATCAATATTTTATTGAGCATATTAATGTTAGATATCTATGCTACAGTGAATTTTCACTATTAATACAATCTACATGTACATGTATGTAACCTCACTCACCTTTGTCAGGCAGCTGTTTCACTGTAAATCCTTCAGGATCAACTTCACTAAAAATATCTGGAACTGTCTGTCTGGTTTGACTTCTGAGAATCCGATTCTGAAACAGGTCAAGTAAATATTAGTAATATTATGCAGAAACACAGCTGTGAGCAAGCTGGAAGAAAATATCTAAATATTACACCCCCCCCCCTCCCACATCCTCCCCCTTATCATACTGGAATTTGCCAAAATATTGCTACTCATATCCATGCTCAATTTTATTATATTATTTGTTAAAATCATGAGGTATTATGAAACACATCCATTATGATGTACATCAAGGGGGTCATGTAAATACATGGCTCCACATTTCCCATGCACACATCTTATCATATTTGACTCATTTGCAATAGATATAGATTGCTCCATATTTCCTATGCACACATTTATACATATCTAGCCCATATGCAATAATAAATGTGGCTCCACATTTCCCATGCACACATTTATACATATCTGGCTGATGTGTAATATATATAGATATGGCTCCACATTTCCCATGCACACATTTATACATCTTCAATCCACCTTAAATAGTTGAGATAAACATGGCTCCACATTTCCCATGCACCCATTTATACACATCTGGCCCATATGTAATATATAAATGGCTCCACATTTCCCATGCACAAATGTATAGACATCTGGCCCATGTGTAATATATATATATATATATGGCTCCACATTTCCCATGCATAAATTTATACATATCTGGGTCATGTGTAATATATATATAGATATGGCTCCACATTTCCCATGCACACATTTATACACATCTGGCCCATTTGTAATATATATATATGGCTCCACATTTTCCATGCACACATTTATACACATCTGGCCCATGTATAATATATATAGATATGGCTCCACATTTCCCATGCACACATTTATACAAATCTGGCCCATGTATAATATATATATATATATATATGGCTCCACATTTCAAATGCACACATTTATACACATCTGGCCTATGTGTATATATATATATATATATATATGGCTCCACATTTCCCATGCACACATTTATACACATCTGGCCCATGTGTAATATATATATATGGCTCCACATTTCCCATGCACACATTTATACACATCTGGCCCATGTGTAATATATATATGGCTCCACATTTCCCATGCACACATTTATACATCTGGTCCATGTGTAATATATATATGGCTCCACATTTCCCATGCACACATTTATACACATCTGGCCCATGTGTAATATATATATATGGCTCCACATTTTCCATGCACACATTTATACACATCTGGCCCATTTGTAATATATATATATGGCTCCACATTTTCCATGCACACATTTATACACATCTGGCCCATGTGTAATATATATATATGGCTCCACATTTCCCATGCACACATTTATACACATCTGGCCCATGTGTAATATATATATATGGCTCCACATTTCCCATGCACACATTTATACACATCTGGCCCATGTGTAATATATTTATGTGGCTCCACATTTCCCATGCACACATTTATACATCTGGCCCATGTGTTTATGTGGCTCCACATTTCCCATGCACACATTTATACATCTGGCCCATGTGTAATATATATATGGCTCCACATTTCCCATGCACACATTTATACATCTTCAATCCATCTTAAATAGTTCAGATAAACATGGTTCCACATTTTCCATGCACACATTTATACATATCTGGGTCATGTGTAATATATATATAGATATGGCTCCACATTTCCCATGCACACATTTATACACGTCTGGCCCATATATATATATATATATATATATGGCTCCACATTTCCCATGCACACAGTTATACAAATCTGGCCCATGTATAATGGCTCCACAGTTCCCATGCACACATTTATAAGTCTTCAATCCACCTTAAATAGTTCAGTTAAACATGGCTCCACATTTTCCATGCACACATTTATACATATCTGGGTCATGTGTAATATATATATATATATATATAGATATGGCTCCACATTTCCCATGCACACATTTATACACGTCTGGCCCATTATATATATATATATGGCTCCACATTTCCCATGCACACATTTATACACATCTGGCCCATGTGTAATATATATATATTTATATATATATGGCTCCACATTTCCCATGCACACATTTATACACATCTGGCCCATGTGTAATATATATATATATGGCTCCACATTTCCCATGCACACATTTAAACACATATTGCCCATGTCGATCTATATATATATATATGGCTCCACATTTCCCATGCACACATTTATACACATCTGGCCTATGTATAAAATATATAGATATGGCTCCACATTTCCAATGCACACATTTATACAAATCTGGCCCATGTATAATGGCTCCACAGTTCCCATGCACACATTTATAAATCTTCAATCCACCTTAAATAGTTCAGTTAAACATGGCTCCACATTTTCCATGCACACATTTATACATATCTTGCCCATGTGTAATATATATATATATATATATATATATATATATATGGCTCCACATTTCCCATGCACACATTTATACACATCTGGCCCATGTGTAATATATATGGCTCCACATTTCCCATGCACACATTTAAACACATATTGCCCATGTAGATCTATATCTAGTTATGGCTCCACATTTCCCGTGCACACATTTATACACATCTGACCCAGATTATTATGGCTCCACATTTCCCATGCACACATTTATACACATCTGACCCATGTGAGTTATTTACAGATAGGCCTAGACCTATGGCTCCACATTTCCCATGCACACATTTAGGCTAAATCTGGCTGATGTGAAATAGACCTTCAAATCTAACGTTACTAGATATTCCTTTAGTTTAACTCTAAAGTTAGGCCTAAGAAGAACTTATACTAGACCTAGATCTACTACTAGTAGCCTAGACTAGTAGTACTAGTCTAGGTCTAGGCCTAACGTTAGGCCTAGAATCTAGATCTACATCTTACTTAGATCTAGATTAGATCTAGATCTATGTATGAGTTTTTTGTACCCAATATCATGAATAGAACTAGATCTATAGGCCTAAGGAATTCTTTAAAAAGTTGATAGAATATTAATGGGCCTAGACTGGATTAAAAATGAAAGTAAACTTTCTAGATCTAGACAAGTTCTACTTACTTTTGCCAGTTGTGGCTGTACTAATCCCGCCATGACATGTCCATATACGTTAACAGGCACGTCGCAAGGTGCACTGCACCAGCACTGCGCATGCGCTGCATCTAATAAGATACAGACTGTGCAGTGTGTATCCTCATGCTGGCGCTCTTCACTTGATATTATTCTTGAGATCGGAAAATAATACACATATTCAGGCTGCAAGCTATGACTCCAAAGTGGGAAACCGGGGATGGAGTTAAATCGCAGCCGAACGTTGATGGGGTACTACTGAGATGTCCCAAAGCTGATTTAAATCTCGTTTTAATGATTCTGCAACTGTGGAGCTCCACGGTTTGCTGTGTCTCCACAGTTGGAAGTTGTGTATTCATATGAACCTCCCCGATTGACGGTCATTACAAGTGCACCCACACACACACACACACATATATATATATATATATAGAGAGAGAGAGAGATAGAGAGAGAGAGAGATAGAGAGGGAGAGCAAAAGAGAGAGGGGTAGAGTATTAGGAATTCAGAGAAAGAGAAAGTTAGACAAGGAGGGAGATATATATATATATATATATATGGAGAGAGAGGGGGAGAGGGGGAGAGTATTAGGAATTCAGAGATATAAAGAAAGTTAGACAAGGAATGAGAGAGAGAGAGAGAGAAATATATATATATATATATATAGAGAGAGAGAGAGAGAGAGAGAGAGAGATGAGAGAGAAAATGATAGAAAGAGATAGAAGGAGAACAGCTTCCGCCCAAAAAACAATTATTTACACCGGTCCAGTATTCTGGAATAACATAGATCCATCTCTTTAACAAAGTACCAGTCTATACACATTGAAAAAATAATAATAGTACATTTATAAAGCGCAGAAACTATCCAACATTAGGTATATATTCTACTGCGCTACAAGAGCTCCTGATATGCTTAGATTTACGGTACAGTTAATTAAAAAGAAGTGTTTTCAGTTTTGACTTAAAAACGTTTACAGATGATGATTTCCTGACTTCAAATGGCAAGTTATTCCAGAGTTTGGGGGCTGCACAAGCAAATGCTCGATCACCTAGCGTTATTTTTGTTTTGATAGATGGGATCTGTAGCAACAAAGTATCTCGGGAACTGCGCAAGTTGCGATTGTGTTGATTAGGTTTGAAATTTCAACAGTTCTTTGATATAAGTGGGAGCTTGACCAAGAAGTGCTTTATATACAATCAGCAAGATTTTGAATGTTATTCTCTGGCGTACTGGTAACCAATGTAGATTTCTTAAAATTGGGGTGATCCGTGTGAATTTAGAACAACCACAGATCAGCCTTGCACAGGTGTTTTGAACCCGTTGCAATCTCACTATTTGACAGTCAGGGATCCCATACAGTAGACTATTACAATAGTCCAGCTTATTGGTGATACATGCATGTACAATGTCTTTCGTAATGTCCTTATCTAAATATTTACGAATACGTCTGAGATTATAGATCATGTAGTATGCTGATTTACAGACATTTGTGATGTGCTCTCTCATATTCAAATTTGAATCGAACTGTACTCCAAGATTTCTTGCACTAACATATGGTTCTATTACAGAGTCTCCAATTGATACACTGTTTAAGTTGATTTTGGATGTCTGTTTAGGTGTGCCAATGATCATTAATTCAGTTTTACCATCATTAAGCATGAGCCTATTTTGCAACATCCATCCACGTACATAGTCAACACATGTTTCTAGGAGTGAGACACATCGCTCTTTAGCATGTTCATCAGGTCTGAATGATACATACAGCTGTGTGTCATCTGCATAGCAGTGGCATGATATCTCGGGGAAATTTGTTCGAACATTTGAAATGAGATTAGCAGTGTACAGAGTAAATAACAAAGGACCCAGCCGAGAACCTTGTGGAAAGGCACTGGCAAATCATCAGAGATCACATCGTCTATTTTGACCTTCTGATATCTATTCGCCAAATACGACTCTATCCATTCAAGAACACTACCATCTATGCCAAAACAGGTCTTTAAAGTTTCTAATAAGCAAGAATGATCTATGGTGTCGAATGCACTACTTAGATCTAATAACAGTAAAAGAGTGACTTTCTGAGAATCCATAGCCATCAATAGATCACTCTGTATTCTTAGCAGTGCAGTTTCAGTACTATGGAATTGTTTATATGCAGACTGAGTACATGGCAAAAGTGAGTTGTTATTGAGGTGATCCATAATTTGCTGGGTAGCAGCACCCTCAACCAACTTCGATATATATTTCAGATTGCTGATAGGTCTTAAGTTCTTAAAATCTACGTCAAGACCAGATTTTTTCAATAAAGGTGTGATGAGGGCATTTTTCCATTGCATGGGAAAATGACCAGTCGAGAGAGAAAGATTAATCAATGATGTGAACACAGGAATTAATATGTCGATACATTGTAGAAGAAGTTTCGTGGGCATAGGATCTAAAGAGCATGACTTCTTACTGAGGTTAAGTATAAGTTTTTCAACTTGGTGCTCAGAAAGAGGTTTGAAATTGCTCAAAACATCGACATCATGGTAAGTTGCTAATGGAGAATAGGTCCTGGGTTCATTCATTGCATCTAATCTAGTTTCAATATTCTTGTGGATTTTCACGACTTTGTCACGAAAATAATCACCTAGGTCATTCACAAACTTATGTTTATCAGTACTACAAGGTATCAGGGGTTGTTTATTAGACATGTTCAAAAGAGACTTGACAACATTGAATAACTTGTTTTGATTATCCTTATTTTCCATGATCAGATCTCTGTGATATTTTCCACGAGCTTTGTTCAAAAGTTTCAATGTTGCATTTCGAACAGACTTATAGTTGTCCCAATCACTATCGGCCCTAGTTTTCAACCAGCGCTTTTCAGCCTTTCTCTTTTTCCTTTTTTCTGTCCTGACACAGTCAGTATACCACGGTACTTGGGGACGTAACACTATCTGTTTAGTAACAACAGGGGCATGTTTCTCTAAGATATCACTAAGCGTAGTATCATACAACAAAGCTAGTTCAGTGAGGGTACTAGGTGTGTGCATACAGAGCTCGCTTTCAGCGATGTCTAACTTCAATCTATTCACATCAATAACAGACAGCTTTCGAAATAATATCAGTTTAGAAGGCAATGGAGGTTTAGAAGAGTTTAGAAAACACATGACTGGAATGTGATCAGATAATATAGAACTATGTGGCCATGGTGACCCAAATACGATATCATCAGACTGACGACATATCATGAGGTCAAGGGTGTGACCGCGTACATGTGTAGAGAAATTAACCAATTGTTTACAACAAAGCGATTCGAGAAGATCTACAAAGAGTCTAGCATCTGCATTGGCAGTATCCACATGAATATTGAAATCTCCTATGATTAATAAAGGAGTGTTTGACAACAAATGACATTGAATGTAGTCATTAAATTCTGATACAAAAGATGTAACCGTCACTGGATGTGATTCAGAATAGGGCGGTCTATAGATATTAATTAGTTGCAAGCGAAATGATTTACATGAGATAGAACATTCTGCAAACTCAAAGGAGTCCTTTCCACCCGCAGCAACTTGATGGACGTTGATTATCTCTTTATAAGCGAGACCGGTTCCACCACCACGACGGCCCATCCGTGGTTGGTGAACAAAACGATATCCAGTAGGGATGAGTTCACGCAGAACCGTTGCATCATTGTCCGTCAGCCAGGTTTCTGTCATGGCAATCAGGTCCGCGTTGCTATCACATATGAAATCATGTATCAGAGCAGTCTTGTTACAGACAGACCGTACATTTACAGAGCAAAGTTGAAAGTTCGAAGATGGATTACCATGGCTCTTCCGTCTGATACTGTTCTTTCTTTGGCCACCCCGAGATCCTCTGCGTGTTCTCCTTCGATGAATTCCAAGTGACTGAATGATATCATTGACGTCCTGGGGAAGCTGAAACCTTGGATGTCTCCATTGCAAGAGTTCGGCTGGGGGATACTTAGTCGCATGTTGAAAATGATGATTAGTATGATGTCTCGATCACTGATGACGAGAGTGTATCACCATCTTCCCTATCCGGCCCTGGATTGGGATGAACATCTCCAGCATGCAGGAGTTTTAGTTGGAAGGAAGCTGTACAGTTTGGATGGTAGGAAATTCTTCTCTTTAGAAAGTGCTTTCTAGTGAGAAAGTGCTTTCTGGTGAGAGGACCATATTGAATGGGCTGTACAAAAGATTCTTCACTACATTGCACAAAGTAAATCACTGAGGCACCTAAACATAGTGCAACAAAGACACCAAGATGAATAGACCTCATTGTGTTTTGATCTGTAATCCCTACATTCAAGTTCAATAAAGCAGGCCATGTACAATAGCTAATGGTACTTACATAGAAATACACAGGAATACATGGCTACCAAACTACTGGAGATACAACCAAATCCAAAAACTGATACATCAGAATATGACATAAAAACAACACTTCATGAACTCCAACTTGTCTAGTAGTTTCCAGGTTACTAATACAAAAAGATGGTAACATAAAATTGTACAAATGCATAAGAATAACAAGCAATCAGGAGCTCTTTTTGGAGAGCAAGCAAAGGACATGTGCAAATGCCTATGCGCTCACCCAAGATTTGTCTAGAGATTTGTCAAAAAGCTAAAGATTAAAATTTTAAAGACATATACATGATCGAATCTCGGTTTGTTTGACTCTCGACTCAATCTCTTTCTCAATCCCTTTCTCCCTCATTCTACTGATCCATTTTCCCTTTTCTAGAGCTTTTTGCAATCTTTCATTATCCCTTTTTTGTATCTTCTTTCTTTTTGAATTCTACTATTTTCCTCCAATTTTTCCTTCTTTGAAAAAAATATGTTTTCCCCTCAAATTTAGAATTTCTTAGCTACATATTTGTCTATTTATTGATTTCTAAGCATACTTTGTTCATGTTATATTGTAAAACAGCATCTGAGGAACTAACACTTCAACAAGCTCTGCTTCAAGTTAGTTTCCTCTTTTCTCGTGCTGTTTCCATTATATTTGTCGTTTCATTGCATATTTTTGGTGATATAAATAGTCTTGTACTATGTTTTACATGAGAAATAGAATCATTTGAATTGAAGAAGAGAGAAGAGAGTGAGTGAGAGAGAAAGAAAGAATTAGACAAGGACCGACAGAGAAAGATGAGAATAAGGCGAGGAGAGAGGGAATGAGATAGGGTGAAAAGGATTTAGAGAAAAAGAGTGAAAGAGTTAGACAAGGATCGAGAGAGAGAGAGAGAGAGAGAGAATGGGATGAGGAGAGAGAGAGAGAGAGAGAGAGAGAAAGACAGAGAGAGACAGAGAGAGCGATGGAACATGGGATGGGGATAGGGGAGGAAAGGGAAGGGGGGGGGAGTTACAAGTATTTCAATATGAAGAGATGATTGATTATG